TTTTTTAAAAAAAAAAAAAAAAAAAAAAAATAGAACAGTTGGGTTGAGGGGAAGCGCAACCCACCTTGCCAGATGGCTTCTTTATTTTTTGCCAAGTGTAAGGACACGTTGCACCCATCACTACATAACCGCCTAACTTCCACCGCCACCGCCTGAATTAACTCTCCCATTTTCTCCTTTCCCGGCAAATCTCTCTCTCTCTCTCTCTCTGAACAGCAAAAATGGGTAAAGAAGCGGCGTTGCTCTCAGCATTTCACCCGAAGAAGAAACCCATGAAGAAACATAGCAGTAATAAGAAGAAGAATCAACTCTTCAGCAAAGTTTTGGATTATCTCAAGTCTGACTCTTTTATGTTTGCACCTCTGTTTTCTTCTCAACTCTCTCATTTCCCTTCAGCAGAGTCGTCGTCTTTTGCTCCTACCGGTGAGTACTTTCTTTTAATTCCTCCACAAAGAATATGATATTGTCTGGAATGGGACAGAGGACGTAGTTTTTTCCCTTTGATTTGTGAAATGTGGGGGAGGACGAATTAATTTTTTGAATGTTTGTTCTGTTTCCAGGAATTGAGGAAAGTAAACCTAAGGAGGGAAATGATAAGAAATTGGTTAGCGAAATTGGGGATTATTTGAAGTCTGATACCTACTTGTATTCTCCCTTGGTTATTTCACAACCTTGGGATTCGGATGATATTCCTGCTGAAACGGTTCAGGTATCTAAAGGTACAATCTTTCACCTGAAAGTATTCTGTTAACCACACATTCTTAAGCTGATAATGAGATGAAATTTTCATCCTGTGTTAGTGTCAGTATATTACTTAGTACTACTTTTTGAGGTTCAAGTAGTTATCGCGAGTTGATTTCAAACGTTTCTGGTTGTTAGTAAGTATTAGAATAGATTGATAACACGAGAAACTTGACCACCCAAAGGGATGTGTTATCATTCCATGGATGGAGAACAACAACTACATTGGTTGAGTTGTCCTTTGTCCGCGTTAGGGACCTGCATAATTGTCCCTGAAAACACTAATTTTATATACACCAATCACTTGAAACTACCAAATTCTGACCTATTCAATTGCCTTAACTTGATGTTTTCATAAGGTTTAACAAAGGGAAAGGAAAAAGTTTTTTTTTT